GATTGTTGAATGGAGTATTATGAAAAGAGATTTGCCGCCTGAACCTCTTCACTGGAACTCCTGACGGTGCGCTGAGTTGAAGTTGGCATGAATCATTTCAAAACTTTGCCAGTGGCCAAGGTTACCGGCTCGTAAGTCTAAAAATTCTACCGTTTGATATTAGATATGAGCTTAAACAAGAAGATTTACCTTCTCTTGCAGTCTCTCTTGGCTTTAATATATTTTTGATATCAAGATTTTTCCTTCGTTTCTGCGCGCAGAAGCTAGTAGAATGTTAAGTGCTGCTCCTTCGCTGTGAATCGAGTCCTTTTACGCGTTTTTCAGTATAGACCTCGACTTCGTCTCGGTCCACAAAAACGCAAAAAAAGAACTCGGCCAGTATCTAGCAGACTTGACCTCACACTTGGTCAAGAACACACATGTGTTCTTCACTAACAATTCGTTCACACTCAATAGGAGCGTGATGCCGTGCTTTGCTCTTGCTCTAAGCTCATGATTGGAGCACGGCCTGCCAATAGAAATAAATATCATTTTTATTGATATTGCAAACTGAGTTGTCATAGGAAGTAAAAAAAAAAAAAACATTTGATGTCTTAACTCATTTATTCACTCCATTTCAGGGCCACTTGACCTGTTCAAAATGATAAAGCTCGAATCCTTTACTATAGGTATTATCAAACTTTATCTATGTCGCTTTGCATTGTTAAAGTAAAAGGTGAAGTAGTACGTGGAAACATGGCAAAGCCGACACCAAAAAGTAAAGAGGTACACGTGCCAGAGGTAAGTATGTTATCAATATTCTCACTCTATTTTTGACGATTTCTATCGTCGATTATTTAACAGACCCATTGACAAAGTACGTGATATCGACTTCATTAAAAAAAAAAGACAGAATTGTTAATGATACCGTTATCTGTGCATTTGTCTTCTGAGGAGCTAACCTCTTTCAATTGACTTACGGTTTGGCGAATCATTTAGATTCTCATTTCAAGGCCCCACTGTACATGTACCTTAGATATTCTGATTTACGCTAGACTTTCTTATACGCGTCGCCAGTCGAACAGAAGCGATGATAACACCGCAAAAGCACAAATGTAGTCCTCAAGTCCGTATGGTAGATCCTGCCTCTTGAGAGTCTACAAACCATGCATTATTTGTTGGCAAGGATGATATTAGCATTTGTACAGGAATTTTTTAACGCTGGGATCTAACTTCCTTTTAGCATGGCTAGGAATTCCCGGTGGCGCATAGCTACGAAAATCAATGTCTTCAACAATTCCTTCTTCGTGCATATCTCGATCATCCACATACAGTGATAAGTACTTGCCTTGTATAATTTTGAATGTTTGCGCGCCCGGTTCTTTCCAGAATATCTGAACATGGCTACGACCCTTTGATTGTTTATGGAGCGCTTCGATGTAATATTTTCTGGAAGACTTTAAAGCAACTTTCCTTGAAACTTGGATGGGAAACTTTTTGTAATTATATGGTGTTGTCCACGCTGCGCCATTTGCCGAGTAGACTGCTGCGATAAGTCGTGACTTTCTCGGATTGCTGTCGGTACTAAGCCACAGTTCCGAAGTATCATCGGAAGTGATCGCGAACTCGTGAAATCCTTGCTTTTCCGGGTGAATGAATCCGAAGATCCTCTCTCCAAAATCGCTACCCTCCTGATGCGATTTAAATTGATCCAGAAATTTCCTAACGAATGGAAAGCGAGGAAATAATGGAGAATGGCGAAGCTGTTCAACGTACGGGCCGCAAATACCTTGCCATGTATGAACATTTAGTTTCCCCGCCATGTTATCTGGAACAACTTGCTCAAAAAATGCCGCCAGAAGTTCATGGCCTGTGATTTCCTCCTCTCTGGGAGTGAAAATTATTTTCTTTGTTTTCCCTGTATCTGGGCCAGGTGTTACAATAACAACTTTGCCATCGTGATCCGAAGATTCTTCTTCGCGGTGTATCTCGATCGGATTGGCGTCGGCCGGCGTATCTCGCTCTCCTGAGTGAATCGCGAGAACGATGGGAGGTGTTGTGGATCGCTGAGTCGGAGACCTTGTCATGTTTAGCAACGTTTCAAAAAACTCATTTTGCTCTTTGGCGAGTCGTAAATCTTTTCCTATAGTTGGTGCCCGTGTGATGCTTTGAAATCTGGATTGTTGAAGGAAATCTTCGGCAGAGAAACTACGTTGCAACCAAAATATAACAATAAAAGGAAAGATAACTATAGGGAGGGTACAGAGGCACCATGCTATTTGTCCCTCTCCTTTTTTACTGTAACGCGAAACCATCACAGTGAAACGCAACCTTTTTCGTCCCGAGCGAAAACAATTCCACGCCAGGCTGTTTAACACTTTGCTCGTCCGGGAGCACAGCAAATCTCCTTAGTACACTCAAATTCGATGCTAGCTCAATGAAATGACATCAAGTCAAGTCTTTAAACATCAGGCAATGAAATGTTATGATGGATGGCTTTCAGTAAGTTCCGTTTCAGGTTATTTCTTTCGACCTCAGATCTGTCTTCATCAGGAAACATGTAGCACAGTTTATCAGAAGAATCACAAGCGCGTGTGACCGGATCGGTCTGTGTATATATTATGCATGAAGAAACTATTTCAAATTGCTTTTTCACGCCAGTTATCATCGTTATGCATCACCAAAAGCATGGTACTCCATAAGGCTTCTGATAGGCTGTTTCACACTTCTCAATGGTTACGTGTTCAAACGCATCATATGCCAAGTGTTCAAGATTATTTCTCGCTAGCTGGTCTATTTGTTATATTTTTCACGCTTCACGCTGTTAATCACGCTCAAAATCACCATTTACGATTTCATTTTACGCTTCACGATAAATTCAACGCACGCTTCATGCTCCAGGAGTCACAATGAAGCACGTCGAAATGTCGAAAATACCTTAAAAAATACGGCTTCTTTTTTGGTGCAGTTAAAACTGCAAATGATCACCAGCGCACACGTGCGATATGTAAAAAGTTCAAGGAGGGGAAAAAGGTTAGTTAATGCCGATTTTTATAGAAGCAATCTGACCGAGGCTCGATATGATAAAATTCATGCCGATAGGCTCTCAGGGTAAAATTGTTTTATTTTTCTGTTTTATCTTCGTGTTCAAGTATCTTTTTGGAATTCTTCAACGACAGGATCTTGACGAAACTCTATAAATTAATTTATTCCAAGATATCATTCGATAGATTCAATAATTCGTTGTTGCGTTTGGAAGAACAGGACCATAATTCATTCGCAGACTGGATTGAAAAATTGACAAAAATACTTAGGATCGAGTATCTCAGATATTGAAAATATGTGTGGTGATTAATATTAAAGACTTTTATAGGGAAAAAGCAATGAATGCTTAAGAAGCGTTAAGTGCTTGTTAATACTTCGCGGGTATGTTAACCGGCGGATATGGTATTTAGACGATCTCCATAAGTAAATATTGAACGACTAAACCTCTCTAGACTCTCCTCATACTTTGTTATGCGATCAATGCTGTGCTGTCTCCGCCCATCGCTTCCTAAACAGTTACTAAGCACAGTGGGACAAAAACTTACGAGTCGATACAAGTCCATACAAACTTGGAAGAGGTATTCGCTTCAAAGCTTTGTCGGATCGTATACACACGGGAATCTAAGGTTGCCAGAAATCAGGACAATCCATAGCGCTTTGAAATACTCCTGCGTCGATACCTCGGACCATGAGAGGTCTGTTGATGCATTCAGTTGCTGAAACTCCACGAAAAATTTGAAATTTCGTTCTTTTAACCTAGCGTTAGGCTTTTTCGGTTTGCGGTTTTTATTTTTTGATCATACGTGAAATTTATCTTTAACAAATTAGCAACTCGTTAGTTCGTACTTTTTCTATTAAGCTAACCCGAAGGGTTAGTGTTGTGGTGATAACCGCTCGTTTTCCACCGCTTTGCGCGGAAAAAAAAAGTAACATGTTGAGTTTGTCGTTGGCTTTCAACCACGTTCATGATATTTCTTCTCTTTCTCCGCGGGTTTCCTTACTCTACAGAAACTGACACTAAATTCAAATTCAGCCTTGAACCAGTGAACAAGAAGAGCACCTCGTAGGTGTCGACTACTATTTCCGATTTATTTAATTCATCTTTTTTTTTTTCATTATGAAGGATAGAAACATTGTTTAATATAGAGTTCACGCACTCACCCACTCTTATATACGTTACAAATTTAAAAAAACCCCTTCAGCGAAAAAGGCGCTACCAATCGTTTCTTCACCCAAACAATAGAGAGGGTAATGTACATGTATACCAGCAGAGTTTCTGATCAAGAAGTATTGGAGGGTTAGCTGCCGCGGACTGAAATCCTGTCCAGGAGAAACATTCCCCTTATATATCTCCACGTCAGTGTTTTGGAAACCGGATTTAACTCAGAGTTATCGACCATCATGCTCTTCGAGCAGTTTCCATATGACTGTTGAAGCGATCCGACATTGGTTCTGCGTTACTCCATTGCGCGATTGGTCGGGAAAACTTGGGCTTCCTTTAAATTTCATACTAATGCAAATTAACCAATCGCGACTTGATCGTTCGTGTTTCCCGCGCTTCAGGCAGGTTGTTTCTTTTTAGAACAAGTTCTTATCGGCTGCTCGTAGTATTTTCCTTACTTTTGATTGGCCGTTTTGGTTATGTTGGTTTCGGTTTTGCGAAACCCCATTAAAACGCATTTTAAGAAATTAATTTCATTGTCGAGGGGATAAGAGATATTCGCATTAGGGACCAGTTGTTACTTATCACCTGGGTGGTCGGAGGATTTTGATTGAATCACGATGAATTTTACTTGATCCCTTCAAAAGGCTTGTGAATATAGTTATATTCCACCCCCTACCCCCTTACTAGCAGTTAAGCGACAGTGAATTTTCTATAGTCATCTCAAATCCTCCACCCCTTCCCCCGGGCGATAAATAAAGACTGTCTCCTTAGTAAACTAATTAAACAAATAAGTGACATCGAAGTCGTACCATTTCATACTTGCATTTTGTATTTTTTTTATTTCCACCATCTTTCAAAAATGAAATTTCACAAACTTGCCTAATGCATATAATTTAGATTTGAAGGAGCGGCTATTATAAGTATCTGGTATGATATATTTTAAATCACGTACTTGTATATTCACACACTGACTAACGTAAAGTGAAGAGAAATGATGTTTGTTACAAAAAAAAAACTTCTCATGCGTTTTAAGAAAAATTCACGGAGAACATATGCGTCTCACAATATGCTTCTCTATTTTTACTTATCGGATATGATATTTGTTCCTTTTTTCTTAGCTAAACACTTTTTCTCATCGAACACACGCCCATGGAATTATTGTTAAGAGACTCTGGATTCAGAGTTGTGATGGTAGATATAAAAGTGAATCGACTCTCACTTTTTTTCTGAGCTGCTTATTATGAGACGCAAATTCCATATATCTTCTGAATAATATAACAGATAGAATAATATCCTCATATTTTGGCCATCAAGTCTCGATACTTGAACTCTTGGGTCTTTACTTTTAAGATTGTTTTGTCAGTAATACACGCTATTACTACCAAAGTAACATATCTTAGATAAAAACATGTCATGAAAAGCTAGACAAGGGGAAAAATGTATCAAAACGTGAAAATTATGTTTTTGCAACTTACAGACCAACAAAAGACCAAGAGTTAAGAAAAGAGAAAACTCATATTAAACTCATGGTCCTTGATAAAATGGAATTAGAAAGCTTTTGAAAATGTAGTAGTGATAAAGATGCAAGATAATTTTTTAGAGCCAAGAAAAATATTCCGACTATCAAAACAAGTGAACTGTTGCCAGAGAAGCTTCTTAGTTTTTCTTGGGTTGTTTTTTTGCACCAACCCACGTCAGTTTGAATTTAATTTATTGTGTAATTGTGTGCAAGGCCCTCAATGAAGTATCGAGTCTCTTTTGTATAGATAAACCATTTTTTGTATGTCTCAGTCATAATATAATCCTTATTTACACATGTAACTTCACATCGTCTTTCACGATGAAAATAAAAAGAGCAACTACCTAGGTTTTTAAGAGGAAATGAACACTTATATTGTAAATAACTTTGTCATAAGAGGAAGTTTTCCCCTCATCCAATTATGATTGCCGGAAAAACTTTATCCTCTTCGTTAAATATTGTGCAGTTATCTTATCAAAATCTTCCCTCTAGTTAACCCTTAAAAAAGCTTGAATACCATTGTCTCATTTCCACTGACATCAGTTTATACATCTCTGAAGGCTAAGATTTTTCTAAGTTCTTTTGAGTCCCTTCGAAGAACTTTTCCTACAATCTGCGCAAGGTATCTGAACACTCAGCTTTAAAGCGATAAGCTTTTAAAATTATCCACCACCAATTCTTAACTTGCAACGGGAAACATGTTTTACACATCTAAGCAATAAAATTGGTTCGTGACTGTGCTATTTGTGAAGCTTTTGCCCGCAAAAGGCACAAAAATTGTCTTCACAACTCGCCTTTCATCCGCACTTTGTACAAAAGTGTACAGCAACAGATTTGCCTTCTGTCTTGGGAGAGCTCGAGCTAGCGTTCAGGCTGTTCGGTGAGGAACCTAGGACTGCATCCATTGAGAATGGGAAACCGCTGGTCTGTGGTTTTGGCTTCAATAAGGGTGGCGGTGGTGGGAATGGACAGCTGGGACTCATAGGAGGTCTGTGGAAAGTATGCGAGAAAGGCTCCGGCTTACGGAATAGCGGGGGAGCTTGAAAGTGAAGGGCGGGATGAATTGTTGCAGGAGGACCCCCGACGCTTCCAATCACAGGCACAGGCATAGGCAATGGGAGCTGTTTCTTTTCCTGATTCTGAAGCAAGCACTCAATGGCTTGAACCACGTTCCCACCACATCCTTGAAGGACCAATTCGAGAACACTTCGGCACTGGCTTGGAAACGCTCGAATCAGCAAGCCGAGTGGATCAGGATGAATTTTTCTTCCCATATTGGGGCTTTCTGATGTTCGAAGTATCTTCGACTGGATTCGCAATGGATCGATTTCATCGTTTTGCACCTCTCCATTTATCTTTCTCTTTGGTGATGGAAGTTCTGTGCCGTTTTCATTCGGTGTCACTCTCAGGCCGCCTTCTTCTTCATCTTCCGGTGTCGTTGTCTCGGGTTCGGTTTTTATTCGGACTCCGTCGAGGAGTGTCGGTTCAGGTTCGGAAGGTTCGTCAGGTTGGACATCGAAGTTTTCTTCCGATTCTGTAGGGGAAAGCTGCTGATCGATGCCCTCGTCTGTAAAATATCAAAAAATAGGAGAACGTTTCAGTCTTTAGTATCAACTAAACTTTAACAAACAACAACAAACATATGAAACATATGTATGAACTGCGGTTATGAAATGTATATGTCCACGATCCTTCGCAGTAAAGCACTATTTGAGCAATAGTGAAAATCAGACCTGAAAAAAATTTCAGGCCTGTACGGGATTCGAACCACTGACCTCTGCGATACTAGTGCAGCGCTCTACCAAATGAGCTAACAAGCCAACTGGGAGCACAAAAAATTAATTCTTCCCTCTGGAAATGGCCTTACTAAAGGCATTGTTGTTTTCTTCGTTGTGAACAAAATTGCATAATCAAGAATATTTCAAACAAATTTCGTTGTTTACCTGGAGTTTTTTCCAAACTCTGCAAAGCATATTGTTCCCCATACTGTTCCCATCTCCACTTTCTACAAATGTATTTATTTCATACAGATAACCGCTGACCCGATGCTCTAAATTGTCACCTTACCTTCATAATCTGTGTCACTGTTCTTTCTTGCATTAAGTGCGGGTATCGAGTTCAGCACCATTGATGGCCTCTGATAAACATCGTCGCCAAAATTCTTTACTACTTGATCTTTGTCGCTATTTTTCTGTCCCAATTTTTGAGACATCTCCGAGTTCTTTCTCTGTTGCCGCAGAAGAGCCACTCGAGCGGCAGTTATACGTTGGCGCTCAGCGATGAGGAGACATTTGGAGCAAGTACAATCCCGCCACCTGCAATAATGTTTGTGTCCCTTAAGCCACGAAAGGGCGCCATGATTCCGGCAGCGAGCGCATTTTGGAATACGGTGATACAAAGCACTACCAGGGGAGGGTACTTGGGGAAGGATTTCGCTCATCCTGAAAAGTTAATAAGGATGGAAAAGGAGTTAAAGTGGTACTGTGTAGGGAGAACTTCAGTTCTTTGAGTCAATGAGTTAATTACAGCAGATAGTAGTCTCATATAAAGAGAAGCTCGCATCGGTGTTGTTCATCTCAGAATACAAGGAGTTCCGATATCCATTTGTAAATGATGTGCCGCGCTTGACAGAGGCGTTACTTTTGGAAAGAACGCGCAAGTGTCTTGAATTTTCTATTACAATTAAAATCTCTGATGGGCCAACACAGACTCTTTGACATCTGCGTTGGCTCTTGAATCTACCACAAGGATATTGATGTCATTCCGAGATAGTTCGTCATCTGATATGAACAACAGAGGTATTCCGGATTTGGTAACACCAGCTTCGTACAAACCTGCTGGGTTTCCGACATATTATCAACCAAACAGATATTATGCGAGCGGGGTACCTATAGATAGTTACGTCACGGTTCCTTAGTAACTGGTTTGCTCAAAATTCGCCTCAGGCATAGTTCGGCACTTTCCCGAAAAAAGGTGCTTGAATTGATTTCCTGAGAGGGCGTTTTCGGTTCCTTCCCAACCATCTCGCAAGATCTTGTACGTTATTTCAGTGTACATAGGCAGTTTAGCTGTCGAGGGTTAACTTTACTATATTAAAACTTGAAGTCAACGAGGAAAAAGAAGCTTTCCTTTTGAATTCTCGGGTGGCAGTATTTCTTAGGATTCCCTTTCGACTCCGTGATATAGAGCTGCGACATTAAGTAGAGCCCTGTCAAGTCCTTGCATGATCGATTCGTTTTTCGATAAACTTATGATAGATTCTTACGGGAATTACTGGCGAAGCGAAATCTTATAACCGTTAAAATGAGTTAAAGAAACTAGAAAAGACAGAGAAGGCAGGAGACGCAAATTAAGCGAATTCAGACCAATGCAACTGACATCACGGCGTCAATCAGTTCTAGATGACTAGACATGGATAAGTTTTTAGAAGCCGAGGTTTGCTTTTCATCATCCAATATAACACCATCGTCGACAAGGCTGACCGACTAAATCTCAGTTTCTTTAAGTGATCTTAGCCCATTCAAATGAAGTACGTTGTACACCTGCTATGGAAATCAAACTAAGAGGTTTTTATTTCATAAATTGGAAATCTCTTCTGATGTAACTATCTTGGTTTCCTCTATGGTAAACAGGCCAGATTTAGACCATGCGATCGAATTAATAAATGAGAAATCCATGAGGAATCCTGAGAAAAAAAGAGATTTGCTAAAGTAAACATTTATCTCCAAAACAAGAAAACTGTTAAACAGTTTTTAAAGACCTTCTTTGGCTACTCGAATCGAGCGAAACTGCTTGAGAAATACCATTTGATGCTGTGATCCCTTTGTACTTGAAAGTAATGTTGTTTATCACGGCATATAAGTGTTTATCCCAAGATATTATTCCACGGACTTTGATCCAATAGCTCAAGAATATGTTACACATTTCACGAATTACGGGTCTCCACATGATCTGTTCAATTTAAAGCGTCATAGATGTTATCTACGAGACGCCTTTTACAGAACGCTTGTGAAATTTCACGGCACACAATAGTGTGTTTCAGCTGCCGCACAAGAAATACTTTCGCCGACATGTCGCATTGTAAGCACCAGTGGATATTGCAATACAAGGTTAAGACTGTAAAAGAAACTCAAGTATGGAAACAGGAATTTTTGAAATGCGCGACGTCGCCTTTTGGTTTATTGCGCTCTTGGATCAGAAGCAGGCCGGCTGCATTATAAATATGAAACAACTATATCGTGACAAAAAAATGTGCAGAGATGAAATCTTCCATGGACAATTAAATGATTTTAAATCAATATTGCATGATTCGCTAGCCTATGAGAAACAAATATGTTAGTGTTTTTGTTGATTTCTTTACAATCTTATCTTTCGAGGTTATAGAAGTGGATTAATCCTAGACTTTTAGCGAGCGGGCACACCCGTAAATTAAGTGACTTTGTAATATGCTACTAATAGAAGACAAAAGTGTAGTATACTCCTGAGCAACTTACACAGTTCAGATAAAGTCAGTATAAGAATAATAAGCTTCAACAGAAAGTTCACGACATCGGCAGGAGGTGATAAGTCTCAGTCCCAATATCCCATAGAAAAACGCTTGAAAAACACGATAGGAAAAATAAATCGTGAAGAAATTCAAACTTTCCAACTTACATTTTGCCAAATGACAGAACTTTCAAAGAGGCCCTTGATTACTGAGATTACTTAATTTGTTGAAGGAATCTTTTATCGTCTTTGCAATGAAACGCAAAACTGCTGCCTTCCACAAAATGATCTGTACGCGACGAAGAGTTTATTGATAGCGGCTCGTATCGATATTTTGTTCTTAAACTTTACTATGATCCCAGCATGAATATGTAAACAAGTGATATTGAAAAAACAGGAAATGCGGAAAAAACTATTTATGAAGTAATGATCAATATTGTCAAAGTTTTTAACACAAATAAAACTTATAATTCAGGGTTAGAAATTGAACGCGTGTATACATCTACCCGAAGAATGAAGTTCTAGCATTGGAACGGATTTTTAATCCGATAGACCCTTTTTTAACGCCCTTCAGAAAGATTCAAAGGCTTTGCTATATCTTAATTACATTCTTTTTTATCCTTAATATGTCTCCTTTGACACTCCTAAAGAAAATATAGTTGATACCTCGTTACTTCTTTTTGGTGCTCATTAAAATGGCCTTGGTCAGCCATCTGTGAGAAGTCACCTAGCCGCACTCTTTTCCAGGCAGTTGCAAATCACAAATCGTACCAAAATGGCTTTGTTTACTTGCATTCTTAGAGTACAAAGAAACTAGCAGGTTTGTCAATTACTTAGCGTATATTTAAGAGAAAATGTTCAAATATCTGACGCGATTTGAGATGACAGCTATTGCGCTCAGATATTAATGGTTTCATTTGAAAATTTTGTTGTCCTGTTTGAATACCCGCCAAGCTCAGTCTAAAATGCGACATATATCTAAACTAATTGATGTAGAGGAAGATTTTAAGATGACGTAAGTACTCTATACATCTCTTCATAGTGGTGTATAATACCGTCTGGTTTTACTCGCTTCTGAAGAAAAGCAAATTTCTTTTAAAAAGGGATCGTGGTCGTGAGGACATTTTTAGTCTTACGTTAAAAAAAAACTAACTTTGGCTGACAAATTTCGTTTTATTCCAAAAAAACGTATAATTTGCACTTTAAATGCTCCGATTTTCAAGTGGCTAATTTTTACAAACGATTACGCGGCCTGGTCTAATGGACGTTTTGAATCAGCTACTTAGCCTTGGAAACGCCCGATTTTATTACAAAAACAAGCCCTGAGGATATGTCTGAGTTACTCGTTATTTGCGTTGTTGGGAAAGATTTTAGTAAAATTGGTACAGTCTCGTTTCCTCGCCATGAAACGTTTGCAGTTAGCTGATGTTAATGGCCTTTCATTTACCATCTGTTCAAAGTGCCTTGATATTAAAAGTGCTGTGCTTTGGGCTAAGCCGGAAAATTATCTGCGAGTGCTTTCAAAACCTGCAAGTAGGTCTTTTATTGTAGGAGGAGATGTAAACGAGAAGTTTCGATTTGCAATCTTTTCAGGAAGAAGGAAACAAATTTGATTTCTTTTGCTTCAAAGTCCTAAACGGATGCGAGCTCTTCAGGGATAAACAAAAAAATTTAGTTACACTAAGGTACAAATCAAAAGATATATTCGTAGTAAATTAAGCACAACATTAATATTGTTTGTCATCTGTATTTTCAACTCCTGACTCATACTATAGAATACTTCTAGCAAACTATGTCACCAAAAACTGTTCTCAAACATTTGAGATTCATTCGACGCTTATTGCATTAGGTAGATGACAATGTTCTTTCTGCAGTAATTTGAACGTATACAAAGAAGTGCAGAAGTCTGTCGCCGAGAGGTTAATTAAAACATGGAAATAAAAGCGCCGTTTTTCCAATTATAGTATGTTAAATGGTCCGATACAAAATATGAAACATCATTTATTATTTCTTACTTAGTTGTTTATGTATATTTCTTTTCACATCCACCCCAGGATCATTTCATCGAGGTTCACCTGTTTGAAGAGCTTCCCTCTAACTGGCAAAGCTGGAAACTCTGAATTTAAAAAATTTTTCAACCACAGTCTGACACTCTTAACAGGTTTCTTACGGACAGAATAAGTTTCGTATGATGCACGATCCTCGCAGTAGAGAGCGCTATTTATTTATTTATTGTTTTTTTCAGGTCTGATTTTCGCTATTGCATAAATAGCGATCACTACTGCGAGGATCGTGCATCATACGTATCTTTCACCGAAGTTCAAAATATATGAACTTCATATATTTATCGTATCAGAATAAGTTTCATTCAATTTAAAAGGTGAAATAACGGAGACTATGAGATTTACTACCATATTTAATAGTTACCTTCCGGTTCGAAAAGTGAAATATGCGTTTTGAAAATACATTTGGCGAGGCTCAAAGGCCTCGAAGTAATCAACTCCTGGCGAAACCACAATAACGAAGACTGATTAACTAGCTTTTAAAATCCATTTGGTATTCTAACTGTGTAAAACCAAAATTGTCACCATTAGTAATCATTTCTGACTGTCTATTTTTTCCAATTTGAGATTGGCTTTAAAATTCACAGGATAAAACAAGCATTTGGCTGTCCTGTTCGAATAAAATGTCGTCTTAAATGTTCGACTTAATCCCTTTTCCAGTCAAATTTCGGATCAAATTTAGCTAGGAATGCGTTTCTTGCTAGCCAGAATCAAAATACATGTATCGCTTGTAACTGATACATAATCATCATCTAAAAATAATTTGAACTGATAAATCTCACCATTTTTAGCAAATAATATATATCTACTAAACTGTAACGAGAATTGAAAAGGTTTCTATGAAGTTCGAAAAACAATAGTGTTCCAAAATGGCGGCGAGGGACCCTTAATCACTTGTGACTTTCTCTTTCTCACCTCGACCGGCTGCAATGTGTTAGAAGAGATTAACTGAACAGTAATTTGTGAAAAGTTCGAGTTCATAAGTGCTATATTAAGAAAGATCTGAAGTATTTTTATCGTTAATAGAGGCTTAAAAAGATCGACTGAATTTGATAGTTTTGCCGAGACGTTGTTGTTTTTTTTTGACCGGTCGAAACAGGCATGACCTTTTTGAGTGTTTAGATAGTGTCAGTGTCTTTGTTTGTTTCATCATCTTAGACAGCCTCATTCTTTTTATAACAAGTGTACAGACTGTCTTCATAGGATTTTGAAAGCCAAAAATGTTTTTGATTTGTTATGAAACTAGTCAATTTCTCGCAAACCAAATGAGACAAATCAAGAGAATCGATTCACACCGAAGACAAAAGAGCTAGCTAGCTCTTCTGCGAAATGTTATGCAAAGATCAACTAATCTGTGATTGAATTCCTATCAGATTATTGTTACAGGCAAATGACTGAGGGTAAGATAAGCAATATTTGGCCTCTATAAATAGTGCTTACATGTTACCCACTTTGCACGTCTCAGAAATTACATAAATATACGAGAACATAAGAGGTAAAATTGTCGTTCGTTTTAGGAAAATAGTAGATCCGTTATTCTTTACGGTTGAATGTCGTAATTCTTATTCTGGGAATTGCTATATTGCTATCATTGAATGTATTTTTTAAGATTTTGGTATCTGTTACAGCACGCCGCTAAAATACCAAACATTTCCAATGTTGGCTGTACAAGGAAAATATACTGTAAAGCGTGTTAAAAATGTTTTCAAAAGGTCACTTCACCGGCTGAAGATTGTTCCAGTGATATAATACAGACGGGAATTTATACCGGCAACAAGACTATGAAAATACGCAATAACTAATCGTTTGCAGGTTGAAAGGTATAGCCAAGATTTCACCAGATGATGAAGTAGCTTTTAACTGTTTTGTAGACATCTTAAATTGAAATATGGCATTTCAATTATATATGGCTACTCTTACTCTGATCCAAAGGTCGCTCTTACAGTTCTAAAGTTAAAAGTCATTGAACAACTCAGTAACATCCCAGTAGCCTTTTTGAGCTCTGGACAATGTAAGCTACAAATTATCTTTCTCGTTCGTGCTCGAGAACTAGGAGCACTACTTTTCCTTGATTTTCAACACCGTCGAGTATGCGGAGATCACGAAAAATAGAAAAAATGAAGTGCTCAATCGCCAGTTTTGCAGCTAATCTTTTCCTGTTTCCTGCGAAAAAAGACTGGAACATTTAAACGTGATAAAATGCTTTTTGGAGCATTAAACTACATGTATCGGAAACGGTTGTTTTTACAGTAGATCGGTTTCAAACACAGTACATAAGTTTAAAAGATTTTAAAATATTTTCCCGATGATTACACACACATTTGGCGTTAAATACGGTAAATCTACTTAGCGACTGAAACTCCAAAACCTCTCCAGTCGTAGACGACTTTAGGGTTCATGATTTTTCGCATATTTGCCTGGAAAATGTTTTATTCTTGATTTTGTGGAGCGAAACACTATTCCTCGTGGTCTGAGGGCAATAATTTATGCATACAATGAGGGTGGAACAGCTTTCCCGCCGTATTCGAAGGAAACCAAAAAAATTGATCGAAAAAAACGAGGAAAATATTAAATGTTTTCACGGCACTGGAATCTTATCCTAGCCATGATACATTTGCAGCCGTGGCAATTCGTCAGAGAAGCCTATTCGATCTGACACGACCTTTTATCTCACCAAAGATCACTGACTGCAATCTCCGAAGTTAACTCTACAAAAATAAGATTTAAATAAGTTGAGATTGTGATACAAGACTTCCCAAGTATATTTAGCCTCGGGTCTAATCCAAAAATACACGTGAAATTTTGTCGGAGAAAATAACCTGGTTTGTAAGATTTCAGTCTTTATCCGAGCGAATCCTGTTTTCGCGTCGCGAACTGTTTTAGACTTCACGAAGTTATAAAACAAAACCAGATGTGCCTGTCCTATTGTTGTTCATAAACGATCATTTGACATTCTAAAACAAGATTGAAATGTTAAAAGAGGCACACACTTTTCAACACCCAGAAAATTAAACTCGCTCAGACAATATTACCCCCTTCATGACGCGAACAAGCATTTCTTGGTTTTGTTGTTCAAACGCTTAATTTCATGCGTAAACTACTTGAATTGATGCAGTGTTATATGAAAAAAAAAAAAAAATGGCCAAGTCTCAGACAATTATTTAAACAACTGTCGACAACCTGTATCCGAAATCAACACCGTTTGTGCTGATTTGAATGTTTTTTTGTTTGAGGTTTCTTTTAATGTTTTCATACAACATTTTAGAATCCATGTTTTTAAATAAACTTCCCTTATCCAGGGTGAAAGCACAGGTCTTTACATGAAATCGATGCCTCTCTTATGAAAATTACCAGCGTTTGTGGTGATTCTGATATGTTCAGTTCGTGTGGCCTTGCATTTAAAATGAAAATACAGAAAGAAAATTCTAAAAAAAAACTGCCGTGACTCCATCAGACTTCGCTTCATCTGCGGTTTCGATGTCGCTAAAAACTTTCATCACAACCTAATTAACAGTGCGATGATAACAGGCTTATGTGGAGAGACATTTTTGGGGTTTTGACTTCGTAAATTCCCCAGAATTTAAATCGGGCGTTCATGTTAAAATCATGCAATGCTAATTCTGAAAATCTCTTTAATGACTTGTTTTAATTCCACACAAAATAAAGATTACCAAACTGCAAGGAACAAAGAAATGTCGACGTGGAAACATAAAGGTGAAAAAATTCTCTCGTTATCGAGAAGACACAGAGGTGATTTTCCTTGAGGTTTGATTGCGGCAAGCTACCATAAACTTTCACAAAGGCTTGTTCCTTTCCGAACACTAATTATACCATTTTGTCCCATATCTTTGAATATCATTTCCTCTGCATGCAGCGAAGTCCTAAAGGCTATTGTGTTTTCGCATGTGGAGTTACGTTGACTCTGTATTAAATATCAGGGCATGATTTCTCTGTCGTATCTTTTTTTTTTTCAGGCTCAGATGGGAAGATTTCTACAAACGAAACGTTACAATGGTAAACTGAAACCGTCATTGAACATCAGCTAATGCAAACAGGATAAATCACATATCACTTGATTTCAGCGTCGATTCACAGGTTGACTAAAAATTTGACTCACAAATGAGAAATGCTGCCCCAGGGGACAAGAAAAGATAAAGAAATTTGTTATTGAAAGCTTTAAGTTATAGGAAGAAAAGAAACAATATTGTAGAGTCGTTTTTGTTACATTAGAGGAAATTTTTGTAACCGAGCAACGGGTTATACTCCGAAAATATTGCAATCATGTTGAAAAGGAGACCATTGAGTATTATATTAGATAGATAGCGTAAGTGATGCCCCTTCTCAAACTGTAGTATCACGTATATAGAATATTTCGACAGATTTAAGCTGACTAGTAATATCTCCTACTTAACCAAGTGTCTGACACCTAATCAACTAAGTCAATGTTTACACTTCTTAGCAGTGCTTGTTTATTTTATTTTTCTTAGGCATGCGAGTCACACGCTATCAGCCAAGGAAAGGGAAAAAAAAAGGTCCTCCCTAAAAGATCCGGTTTGAATTTTTTAGGCGTTGAGCCAACACCCTCGTAATCTCAGGGTTTGACCCATGATGTCCTAAGTATTGTCTGTTGCTCACGTACTGAAGTCGAGGTATTTGAATGGTAAACAGTCTAATTCGGTGCGATGAGTCGGAGCATAGCTTTTATCACCTCGTAAGATTACTGCTAGTTTTATGGTTTAAGTTGTGGACATGATGTTTTAACAATGCCTTCAGTGGTACCCAACCGAGCGAGTTTGAATAGGCTTCAAGCCAGAAAGAATAAGCATTAAAACTGCTCTTCGCGTAATAAAACTGCCGCGCCAGCTGTGAGTTGTATCTTGCGAACAAAATGCTCTCTGCTTCTGTCGAGTTGATACTTTATTCACCAGTTTGTCGTATGGCTAAAACTGTTGTCGTTTAATGGCGGTAAAATAAGAATTTACGAACGCGTGTGACTATCCGAGCCGCCGTCAATGTGTTCGGTCAAATCGATTGCGTTCACCAGTGGTCACGTATGAACGAACATGCACTTCAGACCACGCGATGTGCAATGTACACACACGCGATCACAAAATAGCCACAGATTTTATGGACTTTGCTCGTATGTTTGAAAAACGTGAAAAGGGAGCAACACACACCACTAAAATAGATCCTTTTGATTGTAAACAAGAGCAACTCTGTACAAGGCCCAATCAACTTTTTAAGGCGTTTAGCTGCGGCCTAAACCAACTTTTGTCAAATAAAAACTTAAGATAGCTTCTATGTTTTTGTTGACGTCCCATTGTTCACTACAAAAAAACTTCTCTAAATACAGCGCCACATCGCAACAATGTATTATTACTGCTCTAGCACAAATGCATACAGATGAATCGTTATATTGGTGCGTATCGCGTAACTGTACTGTACAATTTTGTCGGAAGTTGCTTATCGTGTTTTTTTTTCTTTAGGACCGTCTTCGATTACCGATCGACTCAAGCCTGTTACAAAAATAGCGCGTCGTTTTTTTTTTTTCCTCGCGGCACAAAACCCAAAATAAAACAGTCGATCTTTAAATAATTTATTCTAAAGTAACGGACACCTATTAAGAAAAACACTGTTTTAACCAAAGCTGACAGCGTTAGCCCAGAAGTATCTTTCCAAAATTCGCGTGCTTGTCATTTCATGCCATCTTGGCTAAAAATAGCAGTTGTTTTAAGTGTACATATTCAACAATCTGCGCCAGAATATTCCATTACTTTTCGCCGTAACATTATACAAAAGAGTACACTTCGAGGTTAAACAGACAGATCAAAGCGCAACCAAAAGTCACGAAAATAAATATTTCTATGTAAAAATATTTTTCAAAGCTACTCCTTGGCGGAGACCGTCCAAAAGATGTAACCACATTTTTTCGCGTTCTAAATTCGGGAAGAATAGTTCGGTGACAAAATCATGACTTATGTCTTGAAGGCGAACTTAAATGACAAAATAAAGCTTTACTCAAATGGCCAAAACTTTTTTCCTTCATCTATGCAACCATTTGGCTGGTTGAGTCCTTTGAGTCTGGAGAACACATAGAATTATAATTACCGTGAAGAAAAGGACAGAAATCTAGTTTTGGATTACGCCGTATTGTTATTCTAAAGGAGAACAAACTTTTCGTAACAGTGATGTAAACTTAAATATTCATATCCAATCTCCTCCAAGCGCGAAATAAGGGGTGTGCGATCTGGAGAATCACCTCTTAAAAGGTAAAAAACCAAAACGCTTCTCTCTCACCTGAAATGCGAAGATAAGCTTAGTTGTGCTCGGCCCGTCCTCCCACTGTTCAACGCGTTCGTTATGTGTTCTATGAAACCCTGACCAACGCCACCTGAAGTGTTATAAGTAGAAACACGTTTTACTTACTACATAGGTTACTAAAATACCAAACAAAGAACAGACAATACAACTGTCAATTACATTATGTTAAAAGGGTTTCATTGTGTTCCGTATTCGACCACTCACGGCGCAGGATTGTGTTTGTCCAATAAGAACGTGAGCTGCATTTTATCACGTAAGCCAGCGTACAATTATTAGTCGCCAACTCATCTGCCAATGTGGCAACAAGTTAGAACGGCCTAGCTTTTGCCTGATTTTGCAACCTTTGATAATTGATTTGAGTATTCATAATTTAAAGACCCTTTTTAGAAATAGCTTTTCACGACTGCATAAATCTGATTAGAATGAAGTTGCGTCACAGTTGGTTCGTGCTAATTTACAAACTTGAATGGAATATAATGTCCTGATCGCACTGAAAGAATACTGAAGCTTTTACTTGATTACGTAAAACATCCTTTTCCTAACGTATCAAGTTCTGACACGAGTCAACCTCATATCATCGTGTTTGTGGGTGGAAAATGTTAAGTATATGAACACATTCGATCAAGTGTTAACATAGCGGGTATACTAATTTGAAGCAGCTACAAGTCTGTGTAACATAAAGTTCGAGGCAAATAGCTACTCCTTTTTACGAAAGTTTTTTGTTCTTTCGCTAAAGCCTTCACACCGTGAGTTACACAGCTGTTACATGAAGTGATTTACATCGACTTATTTTACTCGTTTACAACAGAAAGCGCTAAATTATTGAACTCGGTTGTTTACACTTCGGTACAACATTTGTTTAACGTTTTCAAAATTGCTCAAAATCTGTATATCAACATTTCGATAACAATCGCTATCTTTGCACTTTTCAACGGGTTCAAATGACACATGTGTCAAAGACTATTATTAATTAAGATGAAACGAAAATGACGTGCGCGGAAAATATCTCCTTTGCCCCGCTGTGGCGCAGGTGTCTAACTGACACTCAAGGAAAAGCCATTCGCCTGGATCACTCAATATCGTTTCACCGGCAAACTTTCGTCCAACATATCATACTAAAAAAAAGGTTCTGTCCCCCAAATAGATTAAGATTCATTTGATTAATTAAACTTTTTAACAGATGGAGTGGAAAAAATTATTTGCTGAAAATTTATTTTGAAAGTACAAAGCACACTTGAAAACACACAGATTTTGAAGAGTTTCCCTCAAGCTTTCAAATGACCATCCAGTTATTGCTTCTTGTGTAAGTCAGGCTTAATTAAAGTAATTTTCAAGCCAATAAAGCGCTGAAAGGCGACGCTGAGACGGCAGCAGTAAAAGTTCATGTGTAATTAGGCAATTAAGTGAAAGAAAGGTAATTTTCGAAAGCTCTTTTGTCGATGGAAAATCTCATATTTGTTTGTTATTTCCCTTTGAAATTTACTGTGGAAAAAATAAAGAGAGGATTTGGAAAGTGGTATTTTTTGTGACATCCTGAGTCTAAGAAATGAATTTCATCAATAAGCTCTCCAAATACTCATCAACAGCCAGAAATGAGAATGACAACGGTTTCATCTCCATTTATTGCCACAGAAGGCAGTCATTTCACATGAATGAACATGCATATATTTTAAACATCACTCACTGGATGATAAAACAATTGCTCCATTTGTCGAAAAATGAAAAGGAAGAAACTTCCAGTCACTAAACAAACAAATTTTTTTTGGATATCAAACGCTTCTCTCCCAATAATTCAAAATAGCAGTTTAGGTAACCACAAATATCAAATTGGAAAGAAAAAAAAAACTAACTCATGTTTTAAGAAGTGAAAATACATAAACATGTCTTCCCCTTGAAAGGAATCTGTAGTTTAGTTGTAAGGAAAATTTCAAAGCGTGATATAAGACAGCATATTCACATTTTTCACTGGATTATGTCACATTGTTTGGAAATACCTTGTGCATTTAACTTTTGGTCTATTTTGGTATCATTCATATCATATTAAAAGCTTTTACGTACCGCTATCTTGTTTCTTTATTCTTATTTTGTTTCTGTGCAAAATGGAGACACACTCACGTGTTTGCGGATTTAAAATTCCTCAATCAGACTCTTTTCATAACAACAAATTAATTGTTAGTGAGTCATTTTAAATATATGTTTTGAAACACAATACGGCGTCTCTAGTGTAGGATTTGGGAAGAATGGCAATGCAACTTATGCTTTCAAGATATAATTATCGACGAAACATAGGCCATCTATAACAGAGGCTGCTAATAGAGACAGTTCCCCTTGGTATTTTATGTTATTCTTAATAAGGAGAGTAAAAGTTAGATATGTTAAATCTATCAATTTTAGTTGAGACACCTGATTGTTACCCACCAAACAAATATCGTTAATAACAAAACCCCTCGGTGCAATGTAGATGTTGGTTTTGTCAATAAGCAGTCCGATAAAGATGAGAGAGTTAAAAAATGATCTTAATCACTTGTTTGTACTACAACAGTGAATTTCCAGGTTGGGTGCCTTTTAGTCAACTTGCTGGGTTAGTCTTAGACACAGGTGATGTCCCAGATCCGCTTCATTTTTCGTACGTGCTGTCTTTGGATTTTATTGTTAGATTTAGCGTCGCACTAAAAATTGCAGTTTGTTCAGCAGCTAGCTTTTCAACCCAATAGGGGTCCACATCAGAATGAATAACTTGTTTAAATCTTTTCAGGTGCTGCAAAGGGGAAAATAAGTTTTTAAAACAAAGTTCGTAATGAACTGGTTAAGGATGCAGACAAACTCTGTGGGGGACTAGTGCAATGAAAGAGTTTGTTTAAGATATTTCAGGTGTTGCGGCTGTAGCTTAATTTTTCCCAAAACCAGGTTTGCTGTGATAGTCAAGTGGAGATTTGAAAGAGGCCTTTACAAGACTCCTATTGCACGATTAGCCAAGTGGAGGTTCTTCCGTGATGATATAAAAAAGTGATTTACAGTGTTTCGATCCTATAAAAACTCTACAGGGGTCTTTGGTAGATAAGATCGATTTTTTTAAGGTTTTGAAAATAATAGTTAACCTTGTGGATTATTAGTCACCCGCACCAGATTGAAAGGAAATGATCAGCAGTGTTGCGCCCATAGAAAATGGGAACATGTGACGTTCTGAGAGCTACTTTTTAAACCCAGTTCCTTTCGAAAGGAACTGCAATTTGATTCTTGAAACAACATTCACTCGACTAGAATCACACGTATTGTTTCATCTACGAAAGGAGGAAAAAATCGATTCAGAAAAAATTTGTTTGTATGTTAGCTTAAGGGGTGGATCATGTTTAAGTCTCTGTTGAGAAATGTCAAAGAAAGCATGTGTTTCTGTTACGCCCAAAGGACACGAGCTTTTGGTGTAAATTCGCAATTAATTCAACTCAAAGAAAAACTGGCAGGATAGAGTCGCCTCCTTTCTCATGTAAATCCTGTTGATCTGAACCTTTCTCTAAGTGATATAAAGTTAATTTATAACAGGAATGAAAACAACAGTGATATATTTGCGTCCTACAATAATGGCTATGATTGAATATCTTTGAAGAAATAATTTTTGAAACATTTGAATGCCTTTTTTGAATACGAAACAGTAAATATTACAAGCCAAACAGGGTTCAAGTGTTCCTCTCCAAATATCATATATGATTTTACAGTCGAGAGACTCATAATAAAACTACATGTTGTCACAAAACTGAACTATTTTCTTGATCACTCTGTTGACAATTCCATGTACTAGAGGACATTTTATTAGAATAAAAACAACTCGTGTTGACAACTGAACCTCTCTGCATGACGCCAAGCAAGTTTTTGTTAAGATCATTTGAAATATGTAATGTTTTACGTTATAAAAAAAAAAAAAAACAGAACGAAAGAAAAAGGGAAAACAAGAAAAACAAGGACATTAAATGAACCTAGATATAGGGGAGGCTTCTTTATATCCATTGATAAGGTACAAAGCAGCAATTTCATATTTAAGCGTTTTTTCCTTTTTTACTTCAAAATTATCGTTGCTGGTTTTCAAGATGGGATCGATCTCATTTTAAAAGTCCTTCTTGAATCACCTTCGGAGCGAAATATATGAGTATGAATAATAAATATATACGTGCTACACTAAGTGGTTAAACTGTTTAACTGACAGTCATATGGTAAAATCAGTGGCTTGTTTACTTTTTCAAACGATCTTACGTGGGTATGATAAATCGCTACAACCTCAATCATTTCATGCAAAAGGCAGGCATCGCAGGTTTGGAAACAAACGTAAACAATTATGTCAGTAAAATCATTCTTAAAAACTCCTCACTCAATTTGTGTTTCACGGTTAATGAGACGTGGCAATTTTTGTTTAAAAGCAGGTCGAGCAAATTACAAAATATGACTGATGCTTACCGTGACACTGAAAATCATGGAAGTGTTTGATCAAGAGGTTGATGTCCGAGGTAGAGGTGTTATTAGCTGTTAGGTGCTCTTTAAGATTTCACTTTAAGATATTGGTGCAGTGTTAGCTCATTTCAAGCCCTGACCTCACTTGATTACCAAGGTTAAACCAACTGGAGTGCATCACTTGCCACAGAAAAGAGGTTTGATTTTTATGGATCGATATTTATTTTACGTTTTATTCTTGAGAAAAGTTCAATGTGAAAATAAAGAGGAATGTGTCCTTCAAAAGTTAGTCATCTTCTATTGGCATGCACGATAAAGTGAAAGTCTCTATTACCCGCAGAAAGAACTAAAAGAACACTTCATCCTCAAAGACATTGGTATCTCGTTAAATTTGCTAATTAAGTAGTTGAAACCATCTCTTCTACCCAAAAGAAGTTAATTTTAGCCAAAGCATTAGCCAGCGTGGTATTGCGCAATTATCTAATTAATCTTCAGTGAACAGTTTCTGACAATTCTCCTGTCATAAAAATGTCATCATGGCGACACGGAAACATATTTTTTTATAGCTGATTGTTGCTTGTTTTGTAGAAAAGTGAGAGAATTAGACGTAAAACTTAAAAAAGACTTTTA